GGAGGTGGTTAGGGAAGCTCTCTGACTCTAGACTAGACTAGGAGTGTGAGAGAAAGAGGGGAGTCCAGAATGACTCTAGGGTTTTTGGTCTGAGCAACTTGAAGGATGGAGTTATCAGCTGAGACAGGAAAGCTGGTGGGTTGACCAGACTTGAGGGAGAATATTGTTCAATTCTTGACATGTTAAGTTTGAGATATGCAGTAGACTGCTAGCTATCAGAATCTAGAGTTCAGGTAAGAGGTCTGAGCTGGAGATATAAATTTGGGTGTTGTCATCATATATGATGATATCAGAAGTCAGGAGCCTGGATAAGATCAGCAAAGAAATGAGTACAGATAACAAAGAGAAGTCCAAGGAATGAGCCCTGAGTTACTCACTGCAAGGTTAAGGGATCTGAGAGAAGAGATGGAGGCAGCAAAGAAGACAGGGAAGGAGGGACCAGGGATGAAGGAGGAAAACCAAGAGGGTGCGGTGTTAAAAAAAAAAAAAGTGAATCATGTGATTGGCTGTTTCAGCTGTTACAGACAACTCAATCAAGATGAGACTTGAGACTAGACCATTGGGTTTAACCAATGTGAAATTCATTGTTGGGCTTAACAGTTTTCATGGAGTGGTGAGGATGAAAGGATGAATGGTGTGAGTTCAGGAGAGGATGGGAAACCTACCATTCAGTTGATGACCTAAATTATGCCACATATGTAGCCTTGTGTATGTTGTTATGTTTCTACTACATACATATGCAGTCTTGACATACATATGTTTAACATGTTTTTGAACTTTATATAAATGATAATCATACAGTATGTATTCTGCTGTTGCAGAATGGGAGGAGAACTAGAGACAAAGTATAGAAAACTCTTTTAGAAGTTTTGTTTCACGAGGAGCAGAGAAATGGGTCAAAGACCTTGTAGGATTGGAGAAATAATGGCTGCTTATGGGAATGACCCAATAGAGAGGGAAATATCCAGAATACAGAAGAGGAGGGATCATTGCTGGAGTGATGGTGATGATCTTGATTAGGCAAGATGGTATTGGGATTTTTTTTTTTTAATTTTAATTTTTTAGAAATGAGGTTTTGCTTTGTTGCCCAGGCTGGAGTACAGTGGTGTGATCATAGTTCACCGCAATCTCGAACTCCTAGGCTCAAGTGATCCTCCCACCTGGGCCTCCTGAGGAATTGGGACTACAGGCATGTGTCACTACACCTGGTTTAATGTCTTAGTGGAGGGACTGGCTTTAGCATGGAAATTCAACTATGTAATAATGGAGGGGAAGGCAGAGAAGAGGCTGGTATGTGGGAATGGGGAGTGGTGAAATTCTGTGGAAGTTTTTGTCCCATTGCTTCAATTTTCTCAATGATATAGGAAGCAAGGTTCTTAATTGAGAATGAGGATTGAGGAGAGGATGTGTAATTTAGAGCAGTGGTCCCCAACCTTTTTGGCACTAGAGACAAGTTTCATGGAAGACAATTTTTTCACAGACTGGGGGAGTAGCGGGGGTGGTGAGGGTGGTGTGGGAGGCAAAGCTCAGGAGGTGACATGAGGGATGGGAGCAGCTGTAAATACAGATGAAGCTTCACTGGCTCTCCAACCACTCACCTCCTGCTGTGTGGGCACCCCCCCCCCACCCAAGGCCACTGCCCTGTGCCGTGGTTCCTAAGTGTCATGGAAGACAATTTTTCCACAGATAGGGTGTGTGTCGGGTGGGCAGTGAAGCTCTGTGGCCCTATCCCTAACAGGCTGAAGACCTGTATGGGTCGGGGACCACAGGGTTAGAGGACAGAGAAGGTATGAAATCTAGAAGAATGCAGGTAGGAAGTAGGATTGCTGGGTAGCACTAAGGGACCACCTGAGGTTCATGGTGATGAAATTAAAGTGAAACTAGTCTGTGTGATTGTGTTTTTCTCCAGTCTCATTCAGATGCATGGGTGCTGCAGTATAGGTGGAGAGCTGTCTTGAATCAGGACTGTGGTTTTGCCAAGCAAGCACAACAAAGGGGAAGGGAGGCCAGGGGGTTGGGGGTGTCTGCAAGAGTGATTATAATGATTGGCCAAGGGTCGGAGCTGGGTTAGGAAGGGGGTGAGAGGCTATGAGGTTTAAAGAATTCTTGGAGTTAGAATACTACAGGGAATAGGCCGGGAGTGGTGGCTCACAACTATAATCCCAGCACTCTGGGAGGCCGAGGCAGGTGGATCACTCTAGGTCAAGAGTTTGAAACCAGCCTGAGCAGGAGTGAGACCTCATCTCTACTAAAAATAGAAAGAAATTAATTGGCCAACTAAAAATATATAGAAAAAATTAGCCGGGCATGGTGGCACATGCCTGTAGTCCCAGCTACTCAGGAGGCTGAGGCAGAAGGATTGCTTGAGCCCAGGAGTTTGAGGTTGCTGTGAGCTAGGCTGACACCATGGCACTCTAGCCTGGGCAACAGAGTGAGACTCTGTCTCAAAGAAGAAAAAAAAAAAGAATACTACAGGGAATGACTTGGAAAAATGAGGTGGTCATTGTAGTGTGAGATGTATGAAATTGTGATTATGAAGAAGTTGCAGAGTTTGATGAAGCTCCCATGATTATGACCATGGGAGTCAGTAGTTGAGTTAGGATAGAGGACAAGATCCTTGGAGGAGGAGAACTCAGGAATTGAGAGGCCAGGGCATTTGGAATATTTTATAACCACCAAGGATTAAGACAGAAGTGAAATTGGCCTGAATGACAGACTAAATGGTACAGAAATGAAGGGGAATGAAGGCAACAACAGAGTACTGGATAACAAGACTTAAAGCTGCTGATTTATAGGGATGAGGAGGGTAAGGGTCTGGAAGCAAGGAGCAAAGCTACCTCACCTCCAGGCACAGACTAAGAGGCTTATGATTAAAAACACAGTTGCCACTACTGGAGAGGGGAAGAGAAGCAGCGTCCCAAGGGAAAGTCAGGTTTCCCTTATGTGGAAAAGTGAAGGGAACCTGAAGGGAAATTTAGCCAAGAGCTTGAGCTTATAGGGAATGTCATTTGCACAAACCATTAGATGGTGTGGTAGACAAACTCTCATGTAGGCCCCATTTGATCCCCACCCCTTGAGTGTAGGTGGGACCTGTGATTTGCTGCTGGCCAATAGAATACAGGAAAGGTGACAGGATGTGTGTGATTTACTGTGTGTGATTATATTACATAAGATTGTAGCCAGTGTCTTGTTGAGACTCTCCAGATTGCTGGCTTTGAAGAAGCAAGCTGCCATATTGTGAGCTTCCCTATGGGGAGGGCACATGGCAAGGAACAGAGGGGGTCTCAGCTGACAGCCAGCAAGGGACTGAGCCTGCAAGGAAATGAATGCTGCCAGCAACCATGTGAGTTTGAAGCTGATCCTTTTTCCCAGCCTCACTTTGCAGAGGACCCAGCTAAATCATGTCTGGACTCCTGACCCATAGAAACTTAAGACAATAAAATGTGTGTTGTTTTAAGCTTCTAAATTTATGTAACATTGTTATGCAGCAATAGATAATACAGATGGGATAGAAGCAGTTTAGTTATAACATTGTTACTAAATTTTTAAAACTCCTTCTGAGGTATATTACCTAAGAATCACATATTGGTCTACTATCAAATCATTTTTAATAATCTATCAGCTGACAGATCTTCCTTCAATTTTGTTGATAGAAAAGAATTGGAAACTATTTGACTTATGAAAAGAATTTAACCCATTTACTAAGGTCATTTACTTTCTCAGCATAGACACCAATTTTTGGTGAAAAAATTGAATTATCCTGGAAATTTTTAGATCTTGGGTCAATTCACCTTAGTAATGGATACGAATTTTTACTTTCTTTTGCAAGGTGGGATAAGGACAGTTTTAAAATAGGATGCTGTGTCCTCAGCTCCCTTCTCAAACTGAACAATTTTAAAAAACAGTACATGTGGCAGTGGAAGATCTGGAAATGAATTCCCTTAAAACTGGTCTTGGAAAGTCTTCATAAACCCCAGAGATAAGAGAAGACCAATTTGAAGTTTTCAGGGCTTTCTGGTAGGAAAGGGAAGAGCCCAGGCTGTGATGACTGAGGGCAGAATGGAGCAGCACTTAGTGTGGATGGCAGGGGGTGGGTGGGTGTAGAGAGTTTCTGGGCAACATGACCTAAGAAATGACTTTGGGACTGTCTAACAATTAGTTTTGGAGGGACTCCCAAAGAAGTGTTTCCTGGTTGGTGGAAAAAACATGTAATTAGTGTGTTTTCCGAAACCTTTTAAATTACAGAAGAAATTGCTGCGTCTTGTAAAAAATATCACATAAAAGAAATAGAAAGTCAAAAGCTGGGCCTTTCCCCGCCCAGCAGGTAGCCTAGTTAATAGGTGTGTGGTAGGACTCAAAGGTCCCTTCCAACCCTAAGACTCCGCCTACACCTCTTCCAACAAGAACCACTCACATTTCGTAACACCTGGCAAGGCTCTTAAATGTGTGATTCCTGGACTGTCCTGTGCGTCTCTCGAGTTTAAACACCTTTGGAACTCGTGATTCGGGGCTGGAGGAAAGGGAAGGAAGTTGCAGCCATCGCCAGTTTCTTCTCCAAATAAACCGCTACAATCACCTTCGCCCCCGGAGTTAGCGCTTGGCTGTAAAAGTCTAATTTTTGTGCCCACACAGATCCTCAAAGCAAACAAAAAAGCCAACAAAAGGCCCTGATCGTTATTTATAAACACTTACTGGACGCCCACTCTAAGCTGTGCTCTCCTGCGTACTTGGGGACTTTTTTTGCCAAACAATGACAATTTCTCTGATTACCACCCCCTCAAGCAGGCTCCTCTCACCACAGCGGAGAAGCGGCCTCAGCCAGGGCCCGGGCCGGGAGTCGGCGCCGCCCGCCGACTGTGCTGCCCTGCGGGCGCCTGCGCAAAGCGACACCCCCGTCACTCCGGGCGGGAGGCGGGGGCAGCCGGGAGAAAGGAAAGCTGCGGGGGGGAAAAGGGCCAAACCCTGAAATTACCCGGATGTGGTCTGCGCGCGCGCATGCTCAGTGCCCTCTCGACAAGTTGGCAGCAACAACACGGCCCTGGTCGTCGTCGCCGCTGCGGTAACGGAGCGGCTCGGGTGGCGGAGCCCGCGTTCGCGCCCGCCCGCTCTCCTCGGGAGGCCCTTGCCGTCCTCCCCTCGGCTCTGCGGCCGCCCAGAGGGTAGGAGCGGGTGAGGGGAGCCGGGCGCCCCGCGAGAGAGACCCCCCGCCGCGGGGCGGCCCGGGAGCTCGAGGCGGTCCGGCCCGCGCGGGCAGCGGCGCGGCGCCGAGGAGGGGCGGCCTGGCCCGGACGCCTCGGGGCGGGGGCCGAGGAGCGCCCCGGGCCGCCGGGGGAAGCGACCGGCCCTGTGCGTCCGCGGACGAGCAGCGGCGGGAGAGCGGACTCCCCTCGCCACCGCCCGAGCCCAGGTAACCGCGCCATGTCCCCTCCCCTTCCCCCTGCCGGCCCCGCGCGCCCCGCCCGTGGCTTTCCCGCCCCGGGGCGGGCTCCCGGCGGCGGCGGGGAGCGCGCGGGAGGCCGCCTGCAGGGCGAGCGCGGCCGCCTGACGACCCTGGCCGGGCGACCGACGGCCCCTGCGCTCGGCTGGCCGAGGCGGGCGAGTGCCGGGCGGCGGTGCCTCGCGTCCCTCGGGCTGCGGGGTGGGTCCTCCGGCCCCGGACTCCGCTCGCAGTTTGTGGGAGAACCAAGTTAAACTCGGATAGCGACTCCTGCCGCGGCCGCCGCTCCTCTTTGTTGTTCTTGAGTAGTTTCTCTGTCGCCCCGGCAGAGCGCGTTGGGTCGGCTGGAGTGTGTGCCTTGGGGTCTAAATGAAAGTTGTAAATGGTTTGTCTGTTTGTCTTAATTTCTTTACTCAAGCAGATTTTTGTTTTCTCTTTGTCCCTTTCTCTTCTTGGTTGTGTCATTTCAGTTTACGTTTCTAGCTTTGATTTGTTTACTTTCGGAGTGTTGTGGGTGATGGCGGTATGCAGGAAACATTCTTAGCATCTAACTGAACCTCCTCGCACACTTAATAAATCGTGTCTCCAAATAAAAGGCTTGGTTTGTCTTATTGTCATGACTGAATATATTGAGCATAAAATTGATGTAGGGTGGAGGGCGGTGGCTCCATCACATGCCCCAAACTGCTGTTACGATCTCTCAAGGTAGATTTTCGAAGACATGGGTGTGTTTAGTTAACACGAAAGATTTCTTTGCTGGTATAGAGAGGCTTTAAAAAGCCTTATTGAAGATTGATAGCTCTTTCCCCCCTGAAAACAGTAGTAAACTTGTTCTTATTTTTTTTTATTATTTTTAATTTATTTTGAAATTCTTAATGTCTTCAGTTTTTGCACCATAGATTAGTGCAAATGGAATTGCTAGTTATTTAGGAATAATAAATATAACAAGGTAATAGGGGAATCGTTTTAAGCACCCTGAATTGACTTTCTGTAGGCATTGAGTCTTGGCTAATTTTTGTTAACTACCTTTGACTTTTGCCAGAATTAACATCCTTTTAGAGTCGGTAGCAGTGTGATTATTCAGGTGTTTAAGAAGTAGGTTCAGTACTTTTTGCTCACAGAAACAATTTAGAGTCTTAATAGAAAATATAGAAATGCATAATTTCATAAAATAATTAGGTTTAGAACATTGCATTTGAATAATTTTTATTGTAGATTTCATAAATTACCTTTGCCATACCCTATGGAGAGTGTATATTTCAGTTGAAATATAGGAAGTTCTAAAGTCTAACTTTTTTTTTCCTACTAAGGACTTATTCTCTATTGAAAATTCTAGTATGATTAGTACATGATACTCCAAATTGTAAATGATTAACATTTAAAAATATGACTGCTCATTAATGTTTCTTTCATAAAACTGTCATGATTTTATTTTCTTAAATGAAGCATTTATGATTTGGAATAGTTTTAGGTTTTTAAAGATGGTGATGAAGTATATAGGTTTAAGTTATTGGAATTAAAACAGCCTGTGTAGAGAAAATTGACATAACATTTTGTGAATCTATTAATAGAAATGGCTTTTTCTTTGCTTTCCAGGTTTTTGAGTGAGTTTGCTTTAAAGAGGTATTGCATCTTGATTTAAAAATTTTTTAAGGTGAGACTGCCTACTTTGTTTAGCTAAGTGCTTTCAGGGTAAATCTTGGGCTTAGGAAAAACAAAAAGAAACTGCCAGTCTGTTTCAGACTTGGTGAAAATTTGTGTGAGGTCTCTGAAATATTTTGAAATAAGTTTTAGGTAGATCATTGGCCTTTTCTGATGGCTTTGCTGCTAGAAGAAGCAATTCTTATACCGCCCAGTTACACTCCTGGTCTCCCACTTGGAAGCTATTTTTTTTTTTTTTTTATTGAACCAGTGTTATAGTAACATTGTTAGACTCTATTGTAATTGAACTATTTATTGCTGAGGACTCTACTAGGGGAGTTAACCCTACAGAATCTGCAGGATTCATTACATTTATAATACATATTTAATCTTGTCTAAATTTTTGCCTATTTTGGTGAGAGCATTTGTTATTTTTGTGATGTTTAAACTTAATTCTATTTTGTCCACCTCTAGCTCATGCCTAACTTTTTTCATTCAATGATTTTTAGAGTGATTGGTTCTTTAAGCATCTTATAATATATTGGCCATTTCAGTGCTCATAGTACATATTTGGATTTCCTTTTTTTTCCCTAGGTGATTGTGTAGTTAGGCAGAATTTTTTGTTTTTTGTGTGTGTAAAGGGATAATGAATGATGACTGAGGTGACCTTTACTCTTGTATAAAACTGACAGTTTTATTGATTTCATTGTTTTCTATCCACATTAAATGGAAGTTAAAGGAGCTAGATCAGCATAATACAGCATGTAATACAATTTGGTCAAATTTTCAAATTTTGGACTTTTTGCTTGATAGTTGATTAAGACTGAATTGTAAAATGAGAAATTCAAACAGCTGACAAATATGTCTAGATATCATTCATTTGAGCTATTTTCAGTATGAAATGTTTGCATCATAATATACCAAACATTTGATAATGAGTCAGATTTAGAATTTTTGGATTTTTTTCTCATTCTAAAATGTGTAATTTTGGTGATGGGAAATGTGGCTGAATTCCAGTTTCTCAGGAACAAGGTATTTTAGGTTGTGTCACCTTGCCACTGTTATATGCTATAATTGGCATCCAGGAAAATTTGTTTTAACCACAAGAATGAATGAAAAGCAGGGTAGTGCTTACATTATGTAGAACTAAGATGGTAGGTGTTCAGATTCTTTTATTAATAATTTGTAAGTTTCTTATAATTTCTGATTTGTCTGGATAACTTGCTACTGCAAATTAAGTGATAGGTTAGATAGACAATTACCAGAGACTGATTGTAAAGAGTGTCTATTTGTAATTACTTTTCAGCTCAGGGACTGTATTTCATTATTTACACTTGGAATGAGAGTTTTTTGCAGTTTGGAAAACTTATAAATGTGTTGGGTTCATCTTCTTATTGTTTTTTTACTCCCAAGGTTTAGTGCAGTGGTTTTTAATCTTGGCTGCACTTTGAGATCTCTTGGGGAGCTTTACAAAATACTGATGCCTGAATCCCACCCCTAGAAATTATCATTCGCTTGGTCTGGAATGCACCTCGGTCAGAGCTCCACAGTGGTGAAATGTTGGGGTCCTCTGACTTCTTCTTTTGAACTATTTCACTCCTATCAATGTCACATTCTTTAATATGGTGATTTACACATGCACAGTGTAATCATCTCACTTGTCTAACTTAATGGGTCTTTTGAAGGTATTGCCACATTTGTTTTATTTCCAAGCCTGTCTGTCTGTCTCCTCTCTCCCTTTCTTCGTCCCCACCCTCTTTTCTTTCTTCATTTTAAATTCATTTGAACTGTATGGTAGCAAGTTTTAGGAAGCTGTATTTTCCATGCTGAGAAATTGTATATTATTTTAAATAGGAAGTTGGTCGTCTTTTAAAGTATGCTCTCAAATGCTTGCTTGTGCTCCTTTTAGAGACAAACAACCATAAGAGCCTAAATTAGCACAAACTCTCAACAGAATTTGGTCTTCTTAGGGGGTTAATCTGCTTGGAAACCGTAAAATTTTCTAGCTACCAATTAACTGGTTGGTTCACTGGTTTCTGAGAGGCAAGCTGCATTGTTTAGCTTTTGCTGTTATTTCTTATACACTATAAGACAGTTGCTCAACTAGCCTAGCTAGTTAGTACTTCTTTAGAGATCATCTAGGGGCACATTCAGTTCTCCACTTATTTGCATCACCTGAAGTATTTCCCAAGTGCTGATCTATACAGTAGTTGCATCTCTGTCTCTAGAAGAGCTGTTTAAAAAAGTAAAATATTCTTTGCCACCCAGTTCCAACACACCCACACTGATTTAGAACAGGAATGGAGTGAAGGAGGCATGGGAATCTGTATTATTTAAAAAGTACCTCCTGATTTTAAAGGCTTTGGTTATTTTAGCATGCTTATACTTACTGTTTCATTTGTTGTAATATAGTACAGGTTTTACTTTTCGATCATCAGTACACTGGAGTAATTTACTTAAAATCTGTTAAACCCCAATTGACATGTTTTGAATGCAAATCTTATTTATGATTTAAAAAAAAGTACTGCTACTGAATATTTGTTTTTGTAGTAAGGTATGATTTCTGTATTTTAATGTGGACGAATGTATGCAATTCAGGTCTTTTTCAAGTCAATGTATTTCTAAATGTAAAACCGAATTAAGGATATTTATCAATGATAGTCACTGGTGAATTCTAAAACATTACAGTATCAACAGGTGGCCATTCATTGTAATAATTGAATCACCTGCTGAAAGGATGACTGGAAGTAGTATTTAATGGGGTAAGCTAAGCTAGGAATTATTGTACATAACCCACTAGGTGTATCTATGTCATAGATATCCCCTACTGAAAACTAGTTGAAGAAAGAATCGCATTTGTATAGATGTTGAAATGAAGCAACTGGCTAATTGTAAAGAAAAATGACACAGCTTCTATATAATTAGTCTTTTTAATCAGTTGCATGTATTCATGATATTTGTTTCACAATCTTTTTGGTCATTTGTAAGGTGAAGCTTGTAGACTAGATCGGTGCTTTATAAAACTGTCAGTAGTACTTCAGACTCTTAGAATGCTCTTTAAAAGGAGAGCCCTCCCATTGATATCTATTTAGTAGAGCTGGGCTAACCTGCAGCAGATTCTGATACAGCCTCATTTGAAAGAATAAGCTAGATATGACAGTCTTCTTCATTTAAAAGTTTTATGAAATGTATTTTTCAGTTAACAGTTATTGAAATACAACGTAGTTTCCAGTCTTTTAAAACAGTGGTTCTCAAAGTATGGTCCATAGACTCCTGGAGATCCCTAGGACCCTTTTATTTAAGGGTCATGAAGTCAAAATTATTTTTGT